CCGCTCTTGTCCCTGCATCCCCTGGTACTGCGCATCCCCAGAGCCGGCGCTGCGTGGGTTCCGTGTGCTCACACACGCGTGTGCCGCGGCCTCCGCACACATGTGCGCCATCGCCGGCTCGCTGCTGGCGGTGCTGGGTGCATGCGTGTGCCTGTGCGTGGCCGTGGGGCTCTGCGTGGGGGCTGCTCTGGGTGCACTGTGGGGAGCAGTGGTGGCCACTGGAGCCGCCTGCGTGTGCGCGGGGGCCATGCGTGCCTGGCTGCGGCGGGCGGGGGGGGGCACCTAGCGCGGGGCACACGCGTGTGCGTGTGTGTGTGTATGTGTGTATGCGTGTGCGTGGGCATGGCACCGATCCCGGCAGCATCCCGGTGCCTCCCCGGCCCCCAGGTCTATGTCAAATGTCACTTCGACTATGACCCGGCCACGGACACCCTCATCCCGTGCCGTGAGGCCGGGCTCAAGTTCATGGCCGGGGACCTGCTGCAGATCGTCAACCAGGATGACCCCAACTGGTGGCAGGTCAGGGGCGAATAAGGGGGGGACGTGGTGCTGGATTGTTGGCAGCTGGGTGCACAGGGGGTCGTGGTGTGTCTTGGGGATGGGGGGTAACTGGAAGGTCAAGGGGTGTCTGGAAACTGGGAGGTCCTTGTGGAGCTTGGGGGGGTGCCTAAAACTGGGGCTGGTCCCTGGGAGCTGGGGGGTTCATTTGGGGCTTGGGGGGTTCCTGGAAACTGGGGGCGGGTGGACCTGGAGTTGAGGTTTCTTTTGCAGCTGGGGGGGTCCCTGTGGATTGGGGTGTCCCCATATTTGGGGTGTCCCCATGGTTGAGTGCCCGTGGGACCGGTACCAGCGCAGTGTCCTCATGGGTTGGGGGGTCCCATGTTTGGTGCCCGTGGTGCCGGTACCAGCGCCCTGTCCCCAGGCGTGCCATGTGGCGGGGGGCAGCGCGGGGCTGGTGCCCAGTCAGCTGCTGGAGGAGAAGCGCAAAGCCTTCGTGCGGAGGGACGGGGACACAGCTCCCACTGCCGGTACGGAGCCGGGGGGGCACGGCAGGTCCCCATCGCCCCATGGCAGGGTCCCCATGCCCCACAGTGATGTCCCCATGGTGATGTACCCATGGCTTCGGCAGGTCCCCAGTTCCCAGGATCATGTCCCCATGACCCAGCCCCTGGTGCCAGTCCCATGGCTCTGTCCCTTGCAGCCCCATCCCTGTCCCTGTCTCCAGCTCAGCCCCACTTGCCCTCAGCAGGGTCCCTGTGTGGCAGCCTCAGCGGGAAGAGGAAGAAGAGGATGATGTACCTGACTACCAAGAACGCTGGTGAGCTGCCCTGGTGGCAGGTGGTGGCACCCATGGGCCGGGGCACCCCAGAGTCCCCTGTGGGTGACAGCCCCATCCCACGCCAGAGTTTGACCGTCACGAGCTGCTCATCTACGAGGAGGTGGCGCGAATGCCGCCGTTCCGCAGGAAAACGCTGGTGCTCATCGGGGCGCAGGGCGTCGGGCGCCGCAGCCTCAAGAACAAGCTCATCATGTCCGACCAGGCGCGCTACGGCACCACCATCCCCTGTGAGTGTCCCCAGGCCTCTGAGCATCCCTGTCCCCTGCCACTTTCATCATCCCCAAGAGCATCCCTGTCCCCTCTGAACATCCCTGTTCCCTGCCACCATTGTTATTTCCACAGGCATCCCTGTCCCCTCTGAGCATCCCTGTCCCCTGCCAGCTTCATCATCCCCATGAGCATCCCTGTTCCATATGAGCATCTCTGTCACCACCGAGCACCCGTGTCCCCTGCCAGCTTCATCGTTCCCATGAGCATCCCTGTCCCCTGTGAGCATGCGTGTCCCCCCACAGTGCCACCATCCCCACCTGTGTGGGTGCAGCCCATGCCCGGGGGTGCTGTGGGGGTGAGTGGTCCATGCCGCACAGACACGTCGCGGAAGCCGAAGGACAGCGAGCGGGATGGGCTCGGGTACCGCTTCGTGTCGCGGGGGGAGATGGAGGCCGACATCAAGGCCGGGCGATACCTGGAGCACGGCGAGTACGAGGGCAACCTCTACGGCACCAAGATCGACTCCATCCGCGCTGTGGTGGAGGCGGGCAAGATGTGCATCCTGGATGTCAACCCCCAGGTACGGGACCCCCCCAGCCTGCCAAGGGGGCGATGGCGCTGTGCGCACCATGGGGCTCAGATCTGTCCTGTCCCCCCAGGCAGTGAAGGTGCTGAGAACGGCTGAGTTCGTGCCATACGTGGTGTTCATCGAAGCCCCCGGTCCTGAGATGCTGCGAGCAATGAACCGGGCAGCACTGGAGAGCGGGGTGGCTACAAAGCAGCTCACGGTGGGCCCCCCCCCCCCCCCCCCGGGGTTATGTGTGTATATGGGGGGCACAAGGGGAGGGATGGGGAGACTGAGGCAGGTCCATGCGGGCAGGAGGCCGACGCCAGGCGCACGGTGGAGGAGAGCAGCCGCATCCAGCGTGGGTACGGGCACTACTTCGACCTCAGCCTCACCAACGATGACCTGGAGCGCACCTTCGGGCGGTTGCGCGAGGCCATGGAGCGCCTGCGGGTGCAGCCCCAATGGGTGCCCGTCAGTTGGGTCTATTAGAGGCCCCCCAGGCACCCCCAGCCCCATGGGGCGCTTGTGCCCCCTGTGTCACCCATTGGTGTGAGGGGCTCGCACCAGCACGGGGGGAGTAAGGGGGACCCTTGCCCAAGCCTCTGGACCCCTCTTTCCCCCCCTTCTCCCAGCCCCAGACATGGGGGGAGTGGGGGGGAGAAGCCGGTGGGGTCCCATTATGGGGGCAGCTCCCCCAGCCGTGCCCAGCACCCCACAGCTGATTCACTGCCAAACCTGCCCCTCCCCACAGTGTCATCCCCCAACCTGTGGGGCACCCCATAACCCCTGCCTTAGTTTCCCCATGGGGAAGCCCAGACTTGGGGGATGAGGGGGAGTCACACCCCACTACAGCCCCATAAGCTGCCATGGGCCCAGGCCTCCCAGCTCCCCCTCCCAGGGATCCCATTTCACCCTTACGAGGGTGGGGGGACCCCCCTCTCCCTGGTGTCCCCCATTGCCCCTCCCAGGTAGCAATAACACCACCCACCCCCCCCGACTCCCATTAACCCTGGATTAACCCTGGAGCTGCCATGGCGTGCCATGGGGAGCACAGGGCTCACACATGCAGGTGTGTGCACATATGTGTGCCCCCCCCCGGCCATCCCCATCCCTGTCCCATTCCCGGGGGCTCCTTTTGGGATTTGCTGTGACTTCTATTAAAGGAGGGTGAAGCTGCGGTTGTTCCCATCCGGCTGCATCCATGCGGGCCTTGGTCAGCGCAGGGAGCACACACAGTGTCACGCGTGTCACAGCTGTCACCTCTGCCCACCCTCACCCTCTCCCATGTCTGTACATGTCTCTACACATCTATACATGTCTGTACATGCGTGTACATGTGTCACTGCACACGTGGGCTCTTCCTTGGTGCTGCCGGAAGAGGTCAGCAGAGCTCAGACACCGCGCGGGGGGGTGGGAAGTGTCTATGGGTGTGCAGAGGGGGTATCTATGGGGGTGTGTGCACAATGGGTGTCTGTGGGGGTGTGTGCACAATGGGTGTCTATGGGGGTGTGTGCACAATGGGTGTCTGTGGGGGTGTGTGCACAATGGGTGTCTGTGGGGGTGTGTGCACAATGGGTGTCTGTGGGGGTGTGTGCACAATGGGTGCCTATGGGGGTGTGTGCACAATGGGTGCCTATGGGGGTGTGTGCACAATGGGTGTCTATGGGGGTGTGTGCACAATGGGTGTCTATGGGGGTGTGTGCACAATGGGTGCCTATGGGGGTGTGTGCACAATGGGTGTCTATGGGGGTGTGTGCACAATGGGTGTCTATGGGGGTGTGTGCACAATGGGTGTCTATGGGGGTGTGTGCACCATGGGTGTCTATGGGGGTGTGTGCACAATGGGTGTCTGTGGGGGTGTGTGCACAATGGGTGCCTGTGGGGGTGTGTGCACAATGGGTGTCTGTGGGGGTGTGTGCACAATGGGTGCCTGTGGGGGTGTGTGCACAATGGGTGTCTGTGGGCGTGTGTGCACAATGGGTGTCTGTGGGCGTGTGTGCACAATGGGTGCCTATAGGGGTGTGTGCACAATGGGTGCCTGTGGGGGTGTGTGCACAATGGGTGCCTATGGGGGTGTGTGCACAATGGGTGTCTATGGGGGTGTGTGCGCAATGGGTGCCTATGGGGGTGTGTGCACAATGGGTGTCTATGGGGGTGTGTGCGCAATGGGCGCCTATGGGGGTGTGTGCACAATGGGTGCCTACGGGGGTGTGTGCACAATGGGTGCCTACGGGGGTGTGTGCACAATGGGTGCCTATGGGGGTGTGTGCACAATGGGTGCCTGTGGGGGTGTGTGCGCAATGGGTGCCTATGGGGGTGTGTGCACCATGGGTGCCTATGGGGGTGTGTGCACCATGGGTGCCTATGGGGGTGTGTGCACAATGGGTGCCTATGGGGGTGTGTGCACCATGGGTGTCTATAGGGGTGTGTGCACAATGGATGCCTACGGGGGTGTGTGCACCATGGGTGCCTATGGGGGTGTGTGTGCAGTGGGTGCCTACAGGGGTGGGTGCACAATGGGTGCCTGTGGGGGTGTGTGTGCAGTGGGTGCCTACAGGGGTGGGTGCACAATGGGTGCATGTGGGGGTGTGTGTGCGGTGGGTGCCTACAGGGGTGGGTGCACAATGGCTGTCTATGGGCGTGTGTGCACAATGGGTGGCTATGGGTGTCTGTGCAGGGGGGGGCTATGGGGGTGTGTGCGCAGGGGATGTCTGTGGTTGTGTGTGCACAGGGGATGTCTATGTGTGTGTGTGCACAATGGCTGCCTATAGGTGTGTGTGTACGGATGTGTGTATGTCTGTGGGTGTGCATGTTTGCCTGCACAAGTGCCAGTGTACTCATGCTCCCTTGCACACGTGTGACTGTGCACAGGCGTGTCCACCACCACCACACGCCTCTCCACCTCTCACATGTGTGTGCAGCAGCACCACACACCCATGTGTGTGCATACATACATGTATGTGTATATACATACATGTGCCCACACTGTGCCCCCTTGGGGCCTGGCACCAACACCAAGGTATAAATGAGGGGCACGTGTCCATGGGACCCTGATCTGTGCATGAGAAATGCCGTAGCTGTAGACCACCATGGTGATAGGGTGTTGCACCCATGGGGTACCACAGCCGCAGGGTACCATGACCATAGGTGCAGTGGCCATAGACTGCACCGGCTGTAGGATGGTGTGGCTATAGGGTGCCATGACCATGGGTTCCCCTGCCCATAGGGAGCTACGTCCATAAGCTCCTGTGGCTTTAAGCCGCGGTGCTCTGAGGTCGCGTGTCGTAATCGTGTCTATAAACCTCCGTGCCCCCGCCACGCGCTGCCGGTGACTCGGTGTCACCTCGGGGCTGGTGCCGCGGTGGGTGCAGGATGTGGCTCACGCTGCTGCTGCTGCTGGCACTGGGTGCGCTGGGGCTGGTGCTGGTGGCCCATCGGCTGCTGGCCCCCTCTGGCAACCCCTTCTCACAGCCCCCCCTGGAACCCCCCCGGCCACTGGTGACGGACCAGGGCGCCCGGGACAAGGTGCTGAAGCAGGGTGAGTGCTGGGCACACGCTGCCTGTGTGTCCGTGTGTCCATCTGTCTGTGTGTTCATGTGTCCGTGTGTCTGTCCGTGTGTTCATGTGTGTTTCCGTGTGTCCATGTGTGCAGGGTTCAGCACCCAGCGGGTGCCACCGGTGCTGGATGCTGTGGTCATCGGCAGTGGCATCGGGGGCCTGGCAGCCGCGGGCACCTTGGCCAAGGTGGGCAAGAGGGTGCTGGTGCTGGAGCAGCATGACCAGGCCGGTGGGTGCTGCCACAGCTTCCAGGAGCGGGGCTGCGAGTTCGATGTAGGTGAGGATCCCCCCGGTGCCCCCAAACCCCATTATCAAAGACCCCAGTACCCCTGACCCCCGGGTGCCACCACCCAGCGCTCACTGCCAGCGTGTGCCCATCTGTGCAGTGTGTGTCGGTGCGTGCAGGCGGACTCAGTGTGCACAGGTAGCGTGTGTCTGCGTGCAGGCAGTGCGTGTCTGTGTGTAGATAGCGTGCGCGGGTGAGCAGGCAGTGTGTGCCCATGGCTTATTGGTGGCTTTGGCACTTTACCGGGGTAAAGGTTGGCCTTGATGATCTTAAAGGTCTTTTCCAGCCTGGTTGATGCTATCATTCTATGTGTTCAGGCAACATGTCTGTGTGTGCAGCATGTCTGCATGCAACACGCATGCACACACTCTGCATGCAGCACGGCGGCTCTGGCTGCATGTCCCCACATCCCCATGTCCCTGATGTCCCCACAGGCATCCACTATGTGGGGCAGATGCACGCAGGCAGCATGCTGCGCGTGGCGCTGGACCAGCTCACGGATGGGCAGCTCTGCTGGCAGCGCCTGCCCGACCCCTATGATGAGGTGACCCTGGGCCCACGGTGTTACCAGCTCCGTGCTGGCAAAACCGCCTTTGCCGCCGCGCTGGAGGAGCAGTTCCCAGAGGAGAAGGCGGCCATCAGGGAGTTCATGAGGCTCTCCAAGGTGGGGGGATCTGGGGTGTGGGGCTGGGAATGGTCAGCTTGGGATGTGGGTGTGGGGATGGTGATGGGGAGGATGTGGTAGAGAGGAGGGTGATGGGTGGGCATGGTGCGGAAGGGGCAGTGAGAGTGCTGGGGACAAGGATGATGGGCATGGAAGGGATGAAGTGATGGGGTGGTGGAGACATGGGTGATAGTGACGGTACGGGACAGAACCGACAGGAATGGTGGGGACACAGGTGTAGTCAAACTGGGGACAAAATGATGGTCGTGGTGGTGAAGCGGTATCAGCAACGCTGCGGACACTGGTGATGGTCACAGCGTGGAAGGGGCTTTGGGAGCGCTGCGGCCGCGGTGGCAGCACGGTGGTGACCCGGGTGGCGCTGGGTGCTGCGCGCGGGCTGTCCCGGTGCAGGTGGCCTCGCGGCACGTGGCGCTGCTGGCGGTGCTGAAGATGGTGCCGCGGTGCTTGGCCACGCTCCTGGTCCGCACTGGCCTCATCTACTGCATCTCACCCGTGTTCCGCATGGCGGCCACCAGCCACAGCGAGGCCGTGGCGCGGCTGACAGACAACCGTGACCTGCGCGCCCTGCTCTGCTACTTCTTCTATGGTCAGCGGCCATCACGATAGGGAGAGCATTGTCACGATAGGAGGGGCCATTGGGATAAGGGAGGGGCTGTTGCAATAGAGAGGAGGCCTCGTGATAGGGAGGAGGTTGTGATTGGGAGGAGGTCGTCAGGATAGGAAGGGCACTATGATGATGGAGCAGGGATGTATTGCAATAGGGGGTGTTGCATCGTTGATAGAGGAGGGCCAAGTCATAAGGGAGGGCCATGTCATGCCAGGGGATGGCACCAGCATGATGGGAAGGGCTCTGTTGCAATGGGGAGGGCTGTGTTGCAGTGGGGCAGGCTGTGTCATGATATGGGGAGGCCATATCATGATAGGGGAGGACTGTATCACGATAGGGAAGGGCTGTATCGCAGTAGGGAAGGGCTATGTCACTATAGGGGATGGCTGTATCACAATAGGGGAGGGCTGTATCATGATAAGGGATGGCTGTATTGTGACAGGGGAGGCCATGTCATGATAGGTGAGGACTGTATCATGATAGGGGAGAGCTATATCATGATAGGGGAGGGCTGTATCATGATAGGGGAGGGCTGTATCATGATGGGGGGCCTGCATCACAGTAGGTGGGGCTGTATCACAATGTAGGGGGCTGTATTGCAATGCGGGGGCTGTATCGTGATGTCTGCAGGCACGGCCCCGCAGGACTCCAGCTTCCTGATGAACGTGCTCATGGTTCACCACTACCAGCGCGGTGCCTGGTACCCACGGGGAGGGGCCAGCGAGGTCGCTTTTCACGCCGTGCCCCTCATCGAGCGTGCTGGGGGGGCCGTGCTCGTGCACGCCCCCGTCACCCGCATCCTCGTGTCCCCCGACGGCGCCGCCATGGGTGAGCCCCAACCCGCCCCCCCAACCATGAGGGCACGATGGGTCCTGCGCTCCCCTGACCCCTCCCGCCCCCAGGGGTGGCGGTGCAGAAGGGGCCCAGCGAGGAGGAGGAGGTGGAGATCTTCGCCCCCATCGTCATCTCTGACGCTGGCATCTTCAACACCTTCGGCAAGCTGCTGCCCCCCCTGCTCCGCAGCCACCCAGGTGCTGGATCCCCAGCATCCCCGTGTCCCTGCTCATCAACCCCCATGTCCCTGGCACTCCCGGCGTCCCCTCGCAGCCGGGGTGCCACCACTGTGTCCCCGCAGAGGTGAGCTCCCGCCTGGCCATGGTGCGGCACGGCATGGGCTCCTTCCTGGTGTTTGTGGGGCTGCGGGGCAGTGCGGCCGAGCTGCGCCTGCCCCCTACCAACTTCTGGATCTACCCCCACAATGAACTGGATACCATGTACGGGCCCCCCCAGCACCCTGGAGTGGGCATGGGGAGGGGGGGCAGCCAGGGGCTGGGTGGGATGTACAGTGGTTGGGTGCAGGGTGGTCGGGTATACAGTGGGTGGATCGGTTGTACAGTGATGGGGAGCATGGTGGACAGGTTGGAGGTACAGGGGTTGGGTGCGTGCTGGATGCACAGTAGTGGATTGGGTGCATGGTCATTGGGTGTATGTTGGTTGCGTTGGGTGCATGGTGGGTGCAGGGTGGTTGGGTTGGGTGCATTGTGGGTAGATTGGTTGTATGGTGGTGGGTGCACGGTGTTTGGGTTGGGTCTGCGGCAGGTTGGGTGCATACTGGGTGGATTGGTTGCACATTGGTGGGAGCAGCTGGGTTGGGTATATGGTGCGCTGGGTGCATGGTGGGTGGTTGGTTGTACGTTGGTGGGTGCAGGGTGGACAGGCCGGGTGTGTGGTGGTGTTTGGGTGGTTGGGTTGGGTGTATGGCAGGTTGGGTGCACGCTGGGTGCATGGGGGGCGGTGGGTGCACAGCGCTGCCCGCTCTGCCCACAGGATGACCCAGTACGCTGCTCTGAGTCGTGACGACGTCCCCGAGAACCTGGCCATGATGTTCATCACCTTCCCTGCTGCCAAGGACCCCACCTATGAACAGCGGCACCCAGGTACGGGGTGGGGGGGGTCCCTCAGCCAGGACTATGGGGCGGGCACCCCCACCAGTACCACATCCCAGGCTGACATGGGCACTGGTGGGGTTGTCACTGGTGTCCCCCCCTCAGGCCGGTCCTGCATGACCATCCTGACCATGGCACGGTACGAGTGGTTCGAGGAGTGGGCCGGAACCCGCACCAAGCACCGCGGCGCCCATTACCAGCAGTACAAGATGAGCATCGCCCAGCGGCTGCTGGAGCGGGCGCTGCAGCGCTTCCCTCACCTCCGCGACAAGGTGACAGCCCCGCTGCATCCCCTGGCACCCCCGTGGGGACCAAGGGGGGCTGCAGGGACGGGGCGTCCTGTAGGGCTGGGGTGCCTTGTGATGGGATGCCCCATGGGTGTGAGTGTAGAGTGGGGATTGTGTGCCGTATGGGATGCGGTGCCCTATGGTATGTGCTTGGTGGGGTTGGGGTACCCTTTGGGCTTGGGGTACCCAATGGGGATCCACCCAACAGAACGGGTGCCCAGTGGGGACCCCCCAGAGCCATGGTGCAGCCCAGCCCCCCCAGCAACTTTGCACCCACCAGGCAGGCTTGGAGCTGTTGTGGTGGGACCTGCTGTTTGGTGGGAAGGGTGGCCCTGCGTCCCCTGTGCCCTAAGCCCCCCGTTGTACCCTGAGCCCCACATTGTGCCCGTGCAGGTGGAGTTCGTGGAGGCAGCGTCCCCACTCACCAACCAGCACTACCTGGCGGCTCCCCGTGGGGAGATGTATGGGGCCGAGCATGACGTCGCCCGCTTCAGCCCGGCTGTGGTGGCCGCCATGAGAGCCAAGACACCCGTGAAGAACCTCTACCTGACGGGTAAGGGACCTGCATCCCCCCGTCCCCCCTGCATGGGGGGGGCCCTCCCGTGGTGGTGGCCGTGTCCTGTGACGCTGTCTCCAGGGCAGGACGTGTTCAGCTGTGGGCTGGCAGGGGCCCTGCACGGGGGGCTCATCTGTGCCTCTGCCGTCCTGGGCCGCCTGCTCTACGTGGACCTGCTGCTCCTCAAGAGGAGGATCAAGAGGCGCCAGGGCCGGCAAACGGCATGACAGGGACAGCGCCGGGCTCAGGGAGCCCCTGTGTCCTGCTGGGCTGGGCTTGGCTCCTGGGATGGGGACAGGGATGAGGTGGGATGGACGTGGAGATAGGGGTTGGGATGAGATGGGGTGGAGATGGATGTGGGGATGGGAATAGATACGGACATAGGAATAGGGGTGGGGATGAAGTAGAATGGGGATGGGGATGAGATGGGATGGAGGTAGAGATAGGGGTGAGGATGGGTTGGGATGGGGATGGGAATGGATAGGGACATAGGGATAGGGGTCAGGATGGGGGTGAAATAGATGGAATGGGGATGGGGATGAAGAAGGAGAAGGGAATGGGAACAGAGATAGGGACAGGGGCAGGGTGTCAGGGCCCCACTCGGCAATGTCCAGGCTGCACCCACAAGCACCACCCCCCCCAGAACCTTCTCCCTTGTACCCTGGTCCCCTCCGACCCTCCCATCCCAGGAACCAGCGCAGCAGAGAGTTTGGCACTTTAAACACAATAAATAGAGAACTCCATGGCCCCACATCCCCCCCTGGTCCTCAAGAACCCGGGGGGGGGGGGGGGGGATGGTGGTGTGGGCCCAGGAGTCTGGGGGGGCATTGACCTGAGCATCACAGGGGGGCATCCGAGTGATCAGGAGCCGGGGTCTGTGCCCCCCGGGAAGGGCAACGCTGTCCTCAGGGGGATGACCCCTAGAAGCGGGTCTGTGGGGGCTGAGCCCCAGGGCCACGGCCACACTCAGGGCACAGCCCCTGCAGTGGGGGGTACAGGAAGGGCTTCGCTGTCACCTGAGGGGGTCAGTGGGGGGGGGCATGTGGCATCCATAGTCCCTCATGCTCTGATGAGCCCCATCACCCCACACCCACAGCACCCATCACCCCATAGCTCCCAGCACCCATCACCCCACACCCACAGCACCCATCATCCCATAGCTCCCAGCACCCATCACCCCACACCCACAGCACCCATCACCCCATAGCTCCCAGCACCCATCACCCCGCACCCACAGCACCCATCATCCCATAGCTCCCAGCACCCGTCACCCCGCACCCATAGCACCCAGCACCCCATAGCCCCAGCACCCCATAGTCCCCAGCACCCATCACCCCACACCCACAGCACCCATCACCCCATAGCTCCCAGCACCCATCACCCCACACCCACAGCACCCATCACACCATAGCCCCCATCACCCCATAGTCCCCAGCACCCATCACACTGTGCCATCAGCACCCACCGCCCCATAACCCCATTGCCCCATAACCCTCAGTACCCGCTGCCCGCGGGCCCCACCTCGCTGTATGGGGGGGGGTCGATCCCCGCAGGCAGCGCGGGCAGCGCGGGCAGTGGAGCCAGCGGGGGGGGCGCGGGGCCGCGGCGGTCCCCGTGGGGCGGGGGGGGCGCGGGGGCTCGGCACAGCTTGCAGCAGACGTAGAAGAGCACGATGAGGAAGACGATGGCCATGAGGGTGATGACGATGATGATGAAGAACATGGTCCTGGGGACACCGAGAGGCATGTGCTGGGGAATGGAGGATCCCCCCCACCCAGGCACCATTATGGGGTGCCCCCGGCCCCCCCCTAAGGAACTCAGGCTGCCTGGCACCCTCATTACCAGAGCTGGACTCCGGACCCCGGTGCCCAGGGGCACCCCACTCCCTGTGCCCAGCACCCAACACCGGGTGCTCTTTGCACCCTTCATGCCCCGCTGTGCACTTTGCCCTGGGTGGGGGCTCGGGGGGGACCCTGTGCTGGAGCGCTCTGGAGCCATAGGGCTGGCACCCTGTGGTGGGAGGGGGACTCTGTCCTCCAGTGCTGCAAAGGTAGGGGGTGTCCCACACTGAGGGGGTGCAATGGGGTCCCCAGGGACTGGGTGCTTCTGGTGTCCTCCCCTGCGGATGGGGACCTGGCATCTGCCCCCAGGCCTGCTGCACCCATGGCCCTTCTCGGGGTGTCCTTCATCCCTCCCTCCTCCTTCCCCATCCCGGGAAGCTTGGGGGGGCCTGCTCAGCTCCGTGTCCCTGTGTGCCCCCCCCCTTCGCCCCGCCTGGGGACACCTTGGGTTCGCCCACACCTCTGTCTTTCCCCACCACATCTGGCTCCCAGCTGTGGGATGGGGCCCTTCCCCATGCTGCTGATGTGGCAGCCAGCATGACTTGTGTCCCTGTGTCCCCGTATCTCCAGTGTTCCCGTGTCCCCCTGTCCCCCCGACCCCATATCCCCCATGTCTGTGTATGTGCAGTATCCATGTGTGTGTGCACATGTATGTGCAGCACACACTCGGTGTGTGGGGAAGCAGCATAACAAGGGGTGCCTGGGGAGGTTCATGGGGTGCAGAGGCTGGCGCATGGGGTGCCCAGGCTGACACAAGGAGCCCATGGGGTTTATAGGGTGCAGGAGTGACATGGGGTGCTCAGGTGGCTCCCAGGCTGTAAAAGGTGGCACAGGGGCTGCCCGGCGCTGCGCATGGGGTGAGCATTGGGTGCGCATGGGGCATGTAAAGGATGCACAGGGGGTGCACAGGGGACACCCATCCTCACACAGGTTGTGCCAGAGCCGAGCCGGCGGCGAGACCGAAGGATCCGGCTCCTGCCGATCCCGCAGGTGTGAGGAGGAGCCGGCTCAGGACCATAAGCTCCCCAAAGCCGATCAGCGCCCTGAGCCCTGCGCAGGGGGGCGCCCGCACCGTGCCCCCAGTATCGCGGAGAGCACAGGAGCTGCACAGGGGCGGGCGGCAGTGGCAGAGGGGACCTTGGGTGGGGACACCCAAGGGGGCGGTTTGGGCGCAGGGTGCAGGGGGCTGCGGGTGCTTTGACCTGGGTCATCCCCCTGAGGGGTTCCTGCTTCCCGGGCACGGGCCACGAGAGGCTCCAGTGGCATAATTGGCTCAAGGGCTTAAGGAGGGATTTGCCTCCACACGACCTCCTGTGCCCCCGGCAGGTCCCGCATGGGGACACCCCCTCCTACATCCCATCCCTCCCTGCGCACTGAGTGTGCCGGGTGTCAGCCGCGGCTGTGGGCACAGAAGCCGCGGCCATGGGGCAGGACGGTGCCGGGGTTTTATTTTGGCTCCTAATTACAGGGTGGGATTAAATACGGGCTGGAGGCAGAAATAGCCCTGAAGGCAGGTGGGTGCCGCCGGCCAAACACGGCCGGACACGTGAGCACCCAACCCCAGGGTGCACATGCTGCACACACGTACACACACATGTACACACACATGTACACACACATGTACACACACGTACACACACATGTACACACACGTACACACACGTACACACACATATGTACACACACGCACACACACATGTACACACACGTACACACACGTACACCCACATGTACACACACACGTACACACACACGTACACACACGCACACACACACGTACACACACGTACACACACACGCACACACACATGTACACACACGTACACACACACGTACACACACGTACACACACACGCACACACACATGTACACACACGTACACACACACGTACACACACGCACACACACACGTACACACACGTACACACACACGTACACACACACGTACACACACACGTACACACATGCACATGCATCCCCCAGCACATGGAGCCTTCCCAGCCCCATGGCTGTCCCTGTGTGCTTGTATGGACAGGGCTACCACAGCGCCACCAGTTCCATCGGGCACTGTCCCCAAGTGACCCCATCCCATCACTGCCCGGTTCCCAGCCCAGGATGGCGCTGGGGGAGACACATGGGGCAGCCGGGCACTGGTGCCACCCCAGCACGGCCACGCCAGGGTGGGACACGCTCCTGTCCCCACCAAACCCCGGGGGTGGCACAAGCGGGGCACCTGCGGTGTGCCTCAGTTTCCCCGTCAGGGTGCGAGGCTGGGGGCTGAGATGCCTCTGTGCAGCCGGGTGTGCGCAGCCGGGTGTCCCTATCCCCTCCCGGCCGCTGCTCCCTGGGGACAGGGATGCCGCAGAGGGGACCGTGTGTGCCTACATCCCTTGCCCCGTGCCCTGCCCCACTCCTGCCCCTCTCTAGCCCCGCGCCTCCTGCCCCGCCGCGGCCCCTCTCCCTTCCCTCGGCCCGGCCGATCCCGCTCTGGCTCCCCTGCTTGGAGCCAGTTTTTCCACAGCTTCTTCCAAGAACCGCTAATGAGAAACAAACGGGATTCTCCGGCCGCTGCTGTCACCGCCCACACACCGCCGGCGGCGTTCCGGGGCATCCCCAACTTGCCCATCCTGCACCAACCCCAGGCATCCCCATCCTGATCATTCAGCACCATCCCCAGGCATCCCCATCCTGCCCATCCTGTACCATCCCCAGGCATCCCCATCCTGCCCATGCAGCACTATTCCTGGGCATCCCCATCCTGCCCTCCCAGCACCATCCTGGGCATCCCCATCCTGCACATCCAGCATCAAGCTGGGCATCCCCATCCTGCACATCCAGCATTATTCTTGGGCATCTCTATCCTGCCCACCCAGCACCATCCCTGGGCATCCCCATCCTGCTCATCCAGCACTATCCTGGGTACCCCCATTCTGCTTATGCACTGCTGCCCCTGGGCACCTCCATCCTTGCCACACGCCACAGTCCCCAGGCATATCCATCCTGTACATCCAGCCGTCATCCCTGGGAATCCTTGTCCTGTCCATCTAGCCACCATCTCAGGAAGTTCCATGCTGTCTTTGTTCCACTGCCCCAGGTCACCTTCATCCTGCTCACCCCAGGTCATCTTCATCCTTCCCATCCAGCACCATCCCAAGATGTCTTCATCCAGTTTATCCAGCACCAACCCTGGCCATTTCCATCCTGCCAATCCAGCACCATCCCCACATCTCCATCCTGCCCATGCACCACTGCTAATGAGAAACAAATGAATGGGCTTGTCCGGGCATCTTCACGCTGCCCATGGGCATCTCTCCTGGGCATCTCCATTCTTCTCATGCACCACCGCCCCAGGGCACCTCCATCCCATCACAGAGCAGGGCTAGGGCAGGGTCCCACCATTCCCTCAGCAGCCTCCTCCACTGTGTGTGTCCCAGCAGGGACGTGGCTGTGGCCAGGGCCAGGCACAGGAGGTGTGAGGGAGTCCCG